TATAAATCTTGATTTTTACAAATTTTTGTTTGTTAATAACTTTTTAATAAGCAACGAGCGACGATTAAATTAGAAGAAAAAGTTACTCAGAATTATGTCCTTGATAACATATGTCAAGGTCAAGGTCATTGGGGCTGGGTCCCCTATTCGCTATATTTACCATTTTTTTTAAGACACTCTTGTTGGACTACTATAATTCTGAAACGAACAAATATTTTTGTTTGAAAAAAATTTAGGATATATTTGAAATGTTATTTAATAAACGTTCAAAGTTTAGAATTAATATGTTTTATATTTTTCTTTAAAAAAATTCGCCAAAAATTGCCTTATTTTCAGAGCATCAAACTAGGAAGACTTGTTAATGTGAACATAGAAAGCTCTTTACTTACATTCCCTTTATCACAATTCAACTCTCTCAATAGTTATCTAAATAAATAATAAGAAATGTAATCGTGTGAAACACCAGTGCTTTATATCTTAGCTAAAATTTTTGGATTTAAAAGTATAAAATAAAAGTAGATAAGTTGTGACAATTTTTCCATTCTTTCACGATAATTTTTCGATCAATTAGAAATTAGATAGATTCGTCTTATGTCAAAACACAGATTATCAGAATTCTTATGTGATCGGGTAAATCCCAATGATAACAAAATAATCGTTGTAAGGAGAAAAATCCTGACATTTCTCGCACGTCAAAGATTTTTTTTGTTGTGTTCAACTAGGCCGGTAATCCGCTTTGTTAACGTTGACAGAAACGCAAACGCGATTTCCATCCGTGTCTCTGCAAAAACGCCACGACAAAATGCCAGCGCGAGAAAAGTTAATTTTGTTAATAAAACTGAATCACCATGTTGGCATTCGTATTTATTACGAGATAATCTTTATGACATCGAAAGAGATTTTTGTTTAATGCCAGTTTAAAGGATAATTTAATTATAAAGATGTTTAATATTAAAAGTTAAATATCAAACAAATTCATCATTTAAATATTCAATTGAAACATTAAATATTAATTATTTCGTCAATTAATATTTATATTAATAATAAAGTTTCCAAAGAGTATTTATACATAAATATAAATGTGACAAAGTCGTATAACAAAATCGTAGTTTATGATTAATCTGAAGAGGACGTTTCTTGAAACGAAATTTTATTAAAAATTTAACTGACAATGCATTTAATATCGAAAAATTGGTGAATATAAAAGTATCTTATAGTATATATATATATAAAATTTCTACTTATGAAAAATTGATCTCAGATTTTTCTAAGAATGTAATTAAATTTTAAACGTTTATAAATAATTAATTAATTTAAGAATAAATAAAGTTTTAACGTTTATAAATAATGGCATCAAAATCCAAACATCATTATGTC